AAACTTGTTTTGATCCGAAACTTGTAGTACTTCTTGATCTCAAGTGCTGTAACAGTGTCTGAGTGTGAACGAGCGCCGATAAGTGTATTTTGCTAGGTAAGGCTGTATTTGAACTCACATGACCTTATCAGACCTAGTGGAGAGTTGTGGTCTGAAGCGATGACAGCCAGTGGGGTTCACTAGAGATACTGACAGTTATCGTGTCTGTTTAAACTTATTGTAGACATACTAATTCATTAATTGATTTACTCTAAGGAGGACACCTAGTGTACACAGGTGATTAGTCTGGAATAAGTTTAAGGTGGTGAGACCTAAATACGGCACCAGTTCAGGGAAGCTCTGACTGTTGTTATAAAACATGTAGTTAGGTGTAGACTGCCTGACATGCGCCTTTGCGGTAACAGGAGTCAATGGTTGACGATTATTCATGACACGGTTAAAATTAGTCATAGTAGTATAGTTATATTCACTTTTGATGTGTTCTGAAGTTTAGACATTTTCACTATTTACCATGAGAAGATAAACTAGTATCATATTCAACTTTTATTGTAAATGGAAGTTAAAGTATATGGCAACTTGGTATTAGATGATCAACTTGGAAACTCTTATCCATGAACTGTTCAGTTGTTCATTAGTACGTATGAAAAACGTGATCTAATTTGTTTCCCTTCGTTATTTAAGCATGTAGTATTTTTGTCCCACTATAGGACTCCTCAGAAATGCGCACTTATGACTCTAACAGAGGTCAAACCCAAAACCTTCGGGTTCCGTGGCCAGCAGGGAACCAACCTAAAATCAATAAATAAATCTGCACAAACCTCATTGGTGACCAGCTTTGAAGGATGATTCCCGAAGTTTTGATCAAAAGTCATGGAGTCGAACATGAGGGCAGTTACTTAACGATGACACTGAATGTAGGTAGTCCTATCTCGTGAACAGACATAGGTAGGAAATATGGGCCATGTAATAATTCTTACAGACTTTACTCTCTAAAGAAGAGGCTTCCTTGAGGTTGTGAAACGCTGTAAATGTACTTTTCTACTCCACTGAGAATTTCAGATATATTTCTTTGATATGTTTGCCAGTAAGTTACAAATTACTTATCTTGTTCACGGAACAATGGCTTATCCAGGTCAACTTGTGAAAACTACCGATCAGAGTGAGTGGTTTGCAGCTACTCATTTTGTTCAGTAGTATGACGAATAACATAATCAAAAGTTGGTAGAATCCGTTAGATTTCTGCAGCCTTATGAATATCAGCACTTCTGTTTTACTTATCGTGAAGCTTTAATTGTCAGTCTTGACAACATTATCAGCACAAACTTCAGAAACAAGTGGCTTAGCAACCTGTCATAATGATGGCCTTGTGTGTGATTGGCTGTCGTTGCAAAAGTCTTATCATTACCTTCATATTTATTTCGTTTGTTTGTCCTGATGATGTGAACTTTGACCTTCGTGTTGTTTCTTATTGCTTGATAGATTGGGTCAATGTCAATATGCCTGTTGGTTGCTGACTGACCTGAGTACCAAGCTACTAAAAATTCCTTGGCATTATTTTTTATTTCCTCTGTCCAGGATCTTCACATTTTCCCAGTTAGATTCATATTCACAGTTATCTGAATGCATTGATATGAATGAAGATTTGTCATGACGCTTCACAGCTAGTTGATGTTCATGTAGACGCATACGAAGAGGGTGACCACTCTGTCCGATATAGTGTTTTCTGTAGATTATTTTGTCGATAATGTTTGGTTTGTCTTCCTTTGCTATTACATCTTTTGACCTGAATAAAAGAGAATGAAGAGCTTTCACAGGCTTGTAAGCTACAGCGATTCCAAAAGGCTTCAATAATCTAGCTGTGATCTTGGCGATGTTCTTCATGTAGGGTATATCAATCTATTTGTTAGTTTTCATGGCTGACTACTTGGTTGACGACGAACTATGCAAGCATCTTTTGACGAAGTTGCGTGGATAGGCGTTTTTCTAGATAAAATCATTAATTACTTTTCTTCTTTTCTTCGTAATGTTAATGCACCAGTATGTCTTCACTCTGTTGAACAATGCTTTTTAACCACTGATTTTGTGTAGTGTTTGATTGTTACTATTTTAGTCGAGGATTTGGTCCATATGAGATGTTTTTTTGTGTATACTTCAGTTTCCAATTTCCCCGAATCCATACTAGTGATCAGAATATCTAAAAATGGAAGTTCATCATTTGATTCCTCTTCTATTGTGAAGAGGATGTCATCGAAAATGTGGGTAATTAATATATAAGCGTTTTCCTATTCGTTTCTTTCGCATCATCTCAAAATTAGAAAATGTCAGCATGATGACGACTGATTTCTGCGTTAAGCTTCGTCTAGTATCTTCTAGAGCCAGTGAATTGCATGATCTCTGAGATTCCATCCAGAAAGTTGTGAGTTATCTACAGATTCTAGCCCAACGTATCTGCCCTTCATTCTATGGTAGCAGGTCGAATACAAATCACTCCTGTGCTTCTTACAACCAGTGCCAGGAGTAGGAAACAGTGAGCGGTTTGGGAACCGTTGGGATTATATGCTTTACACATTTTCAAGCAACTGGAACTAGTGACGCAAAATAGCTGATTTCAATGAATGGCGGTCTTCATCAGACCAAAGAATATACCTCAACACCTCAGGACTACCTACATGATATTTTCACCGGGCAGCAGAAATCCTATGGAGAAAAAGGTGTGCAAAAAAGTAGAATCATTGGATGTTCTCATCTCGGAAAGGCCAGGTTTCACAGGCATAGAGCAAAAGTGCCGGCATTGACGTGTCGTATACTCAACCATTTACAGTAATTATAAACATCCAGATCATGGTTGTTATGAATGTCCTGAAAGAAGTTGAGGGCCAAGTCTGACTGAATCAATATAATAAGATATTGTAATATAATCCCAACGTGTTTAGAAAATTAAAACAAGATATTTTTGAACGCTTCGCTTTGTAAGCAACAGCTTCTTCAGCAGAATATTCTGATTTTCTAAACACGCTTAGATTATATTAAAATATATTCCTATAGTCATCTACGGTAATGTTTACTTCACAACATCGTCAAGGGTCACCGAAACTGGAGTATTCTACAATAACCTTTAAATATGGTTGGAAATCATGTGCAGGAAGGTGCATACCTAGGAATTATAACCCAGTAACTGAGTATGAGACACTTAATTTGAGAGCTGTCAATTATTTCTTTTGCTCGGTATTGCTTTCCTGGGATTCACTGTGCAGTAGTTCAAAGTCAAGAACCTGAATGGTGGCAGAGTTGTGAGGGTGGTTGAAACTTCCTGGCTGCCCATACTGTGGAAGGCTTAGTCTTCTTGAGATATCTAAGAAAGTAGAGCTCTACTTGAGCCCGGTCACATACGGCCTTTCTCTTAGTTTGAGATTTTGGTTTGTTGTATTCATATCCGACTATGGACCCGCGTTACAGATATCAGAATACTGCGAGGTGATAGAAGTGTGCGATGTTTTGGGCTGACCTGTTCTAACTCCGCAGCCTCATAAGGAAAATAGCATTAGCGTGGCACTACTGGTCATTCCTGGGAATCACCTTATTGCTATCACATTCCTGTCCAGCCGGCAGTAGGACTTGACCCTCAGACCTTCATCATAGTGTAGCAAGTCACACTATAATTGTGACTACTTTTTGTCTAACTACTATACAATAGACTTTTCTGTCATGGCAGAACCTCGAAGGAACAAGCATTACACCAGGATGGCTCGCCGGTTCATTTTGATACACAAGCCCAACCATCACTCCAAGGTAGCAGCTGTTGATGAGATTCACAATAAAGTCGTGAAACATCACTGACTCAGATGACTGGGACGTGTGTTGAGCAAGCCAAGTCACCATCTGCCTCATCGTGCATGCTAACTGAAGTAGGGTCAGGCTGGAAAAAGGCTCGGCACGGCCAGACTAAAAAATGGCATCACTGCATGAATTAATTCCTTAATTGTTGGTTTGAGCCATGTAGGCAAACATAGACTAGCTAGTCGGGGTCCATGTGACAACAGAAACCGGTGGCTGGAGACTCTGGATTATATGGCTTAGAATCAAAGTTAGTGGTGCAGATGTATGTAAATATCATCTTCATCGTAACCGCTATGTTGAACTCAGCATTTCGTCATTCCCGCTTTTTCTCTTTTACTGCTTTCTACTGCTTTTGATCGATTTCTCTCTCTTTCTTCATCTTTACTGCTTTGTTATTTGTTGTACTGATATAAAGTGTGGCAACTTAGGCCACTGCGCAGTAATGCCTAGTCCTAGGTTGGTATTGATGATGATAAGGGGTACAGAATTCAGACAAGGCAATTATATACTGTTTCTTGGTTTTCAAAGGTTCTACTATTTGTATCAACCTATGATGAAGACGAGTGTGTAAATTCTGTATTTTCCGACATATTGTAAATCTAATCAACAGTCGCTTTTACTTTCATGCTCGAGGTTATGTCATTTGTGATAAACTTCTGTGTCGTCACTATCCTTATTTTACTCACTGTATAAAACAAAGGTGAATACATGACACGAGACTACTCAGTATATGTGTACTATGTTTTTCAAAATTGAACATCTCTGAATATTTGAAGAAATAGGTGACTAGGAATGACAGCATTAACTGGTAATACTGACTTCCAGTTTAAAAGTGTATATCATCATATGATGTTAAAATCAATTTTAAGGTCAAATTTTTAACTTTTACGCGTAATCACTTGATATGAATCTTTTAAAATATGATAAATTTTAATCTATTTTTCCGTGTCATGTTAATAATTTTCAACAGGATTACGTTTGTCACCAATTCAATGGGTCCAATGATAATGGGAATACGTTAAAGAAATCAATTTATTTTCATGAAAAATATTAACTACTTAATCATATAATACATTATTAGGAATTGAATTTACTTTGTTAAGTAATTCAACGTTTCGTACAAAATCACACTGTAATCAATGACAGACTGGAATAGTCAGTCGTTAACTATACCAGGTTTTATAATTCACTTTGATTATATCTTCACAATACGAAGCGTAGAACATTGAACAGAAATCAATAACCACTATACTTAAACCATTCAAACCGGCTTGACGAACTGGTGTATTTATCCAGTCTTTAATGTATGGAGCAGCAACTTCAGCAATTCGTTTTACTGAACCAAATGGATGCATAATCATGAATAATTTATTCGGTGTTAAAACAGTTTGATAAACATAAAATTTTGATGGATCTTTGCAAAAATGAGGTCTATGAAAAAAAAAATAGGTAAACCATAACTACTAAACTATATGTATAAACTGGTATATTCCGTTAACTAATGACTAAATAAAAATAAATACATACTAGTGTTAAATGTTAAGAGGCAAATTATAGGTAACCCTGATCATAGATTTGGTGCTTATCGGGACTCATCACCATGCCATATCTATAAACAAGCATGAAGAAACTGGTTTTCTCCCAGTGATTTGAATCTGAATCACTCAGTGCGAAGTCTTAATGACCGAATAGTAGGCTTGATTAGTGGACCTCGATCAGCTCTGAGCACTGATGGTGGATTCATGTAAACAATCCAATCATATGACGATTAATTGTTGCCTGAATGGCTCAGTAGCAAAGTCTTTAACTTTATCACTGACTGGTGGAAGCGTGAATCACCAAGATGGCACTAGTTTCCCGATGGTTGTAGGTACGCCTTGATGATGAGTATCAAGACGTGTGAAATCCAGGTAAAGTGGGGCTTCCTATTGGTCAGCCTTCGATAACAAACACCAAAATAAAGTGTAACATATTGTTGTGTCACTTGGCTCAGTGGCTAGAATACAAAGGTGGTCGACAGACTTCAATCAGTGCTGAGCATTAAGAACTGGACAGTTACCCAAAGGGGAGTAATTTGTTCAGGAACAGACGCAACTGTTACATCTTCGTTGCCAAAGATTATAAATTCCGAACGAATATAATACGCACATTTAACTGACTCTTAACTTAGTATGCAAGAACTACTAACTGCAACTGCGGGAAGAATAGAGGGAAGACCGAAGCTGAATGATGGAAGAGTTTATTTCTCAGAGACTACAGTAATAATCAATCAATCCCAGAACACGTGAATATGTACACACATCAAATTTAACCTTGTCCGCAATTTGAAACATTGGCATCGTAAGAGTAAAGGTTAACCAATCAGCGGATTACTACTAGTTACACCGAAAAAAAATGGTGTGAGAATGCCAGGTTAAAAATGTTCAAATCAATAACGATGTTTTATGCAAAACTAGGGCCTCAAAACAGCAGCATAGCCAGCAATTTTTAACATTGAAAACGACTGTTAATGCTGGAGTAGCATCATTCATACAAATAAATTGCGGTTATTAATAACCAACACTTTTGTACTGCTCCTTATAACTGTTCCTAATGGTTTTTCACAGCAAATACACGTGATGTATGTACAACGAATAAATTTATCTATAGGTGAATAATTATATCAATCTAATAAACGTAAAAGGAAGTGGAGACGGATTGGGCATACACTGAGAAGGCCAATTGGGGATATCATGCTCTAGGCCAGGCACTCGAGTGGAACCCATATGAGGGTGACATGGAGGAGATGGTGTGAGGAAGAAATGAGAGCTTGTGGGGAGTCATGGAACCAGGTTCGAAAGTTTGCAGAGAAGCGAGTACAATGGAGACGTGCTACTGAAGCCTTGTGTTCCACTAAGAACCCAAGGGACAAATAATAATAAAAGTGAAGGAAATTTCGTGAAGTAATACCATGGGATTTTCATCAGTGGACTGAGTTTGTTACCCAATATAACTTAAAATTGTATATTGTGTAATCCTAGCGCATAGACATCTGAGTTTCAGTATTATTTCAAAAGACTTCAGTTTTGCAAGTTATGGAGAAAAAAAATAAAATACACCAAGACTATCCAATAAGAAATCAAACATTTTACTAAGCCGATATTAAACAAACCCGAAATGAGCGTTAAGAAAGTAGACCATATACTCTGGATCTGTAGACCTCGGCCAAAATGATACAATTCTAAAAGATGGCCAAAACTTTTTATTCAGTTTTTGGTATTCTTTAAAATGACAACTGATACATATTATTCTGTAATCTGTAGCCCATATTTCATCTAATGTTGGTATCTTCTTATCCTGAGGTAACATGAAAGACCCAATAAGCTGTAGGAAGGCAATGGAATTAGATCAGTTATTGGTTACACAAGAATGAAATATTGGAAGTTATTAAATTGTGTTTTGATCTTAAGAATATTAAATATTTCTTCAAGAAATTTTTGAATATCCTAGAAAAGAGCTGAATGGATTTCTAAAGTGATTCGTTTCAAAAAACAGCTGAAAGTTTGAATTGAGTTAAGCCAGGATAATTTAACTCAGTTTTAGGAGACAATCTAATATCCATTTAGATGCAGCAAGAATGTAGAGTGAATTATAACCTTACTCCTCAAAGTACATTCTATTGAAATCTTATAAAGGTTTATAAATAAAATTTAAATGTAGCATCATCTTTTGTCAAAAAATCATATTAGTACTCACGTAATCTACCTGGGACAAATGATTCGGGTGGTTTAAGTAGAAACACAGAAGCACAATGCAATGAGAATAATTGAAAATGAAAGAAAAGGTCGAAAGGTAAGGATAGGGATGATGACGGTTTAGTGTTCTCTGGGCTTTGAAATTTTGTCATGGACGTTTCACCATCAACCTTAGGCGTATTGCACTTCTCTGTGTTGGGAAACGGTAGAACTTCACCGACTAGACAGCTTCTACTCGAGAGCAGTTTTTCTTTCTATATAAATGTTTGCAGTGAAATATCTTGCCACAAAGTGTTACAAATAAACCACTTATCAATAGTTCTACTGGATGGGGGATTGCATTGAAATCTCTAATGTAGTATCACTTTCGGATAAAGGAAAGAAAATCATAGTAATGCACAAAACAGAATATTTCCAAAAGGTATAAGAATTACTTAACGATGAAGGTGTTTACCAACCATTTGACCAAAATCTAGTTCAAAAATTGGACAAATGGATCAAAGAAAATGAAGGAATTTAGTAAAACCTGGTGAGTTCGTAAAAGAAAAACAATGGAGGATGAAGGTAATGAACCCGTCCTATTGGGGTTTAAAGGTTGACCTAAGATATATGAAAAAGATATTCTACTGCGACTAGTAGTTTCATTACTTGGGTTGCCTTCATTCAATCCATTGAAAGAATTATCCAGTAAGCTATAGCCCCTTGTCGGTGGAAGTGAAAGATTCAACCAGCTCGGCAACTGAACTTTCAGACAAAATAAAAGATTTAAAGATGGATGGTGACGAAAGGATGGTGCCATTTGATGTGACTTCACTAGTTCACTAGTTACTAGCCGGTCCTAAGCCCGGGCAATGAGGGAAGGTTGGGTATAGGGCTAGCAACACTACAGAATACCACAAAGCTTTATCAACCTCATTCAACAAATATATGAAGACGCAGCATGCCAAATAATTCACAATGGGAAGCTAAGTTATGCCTTTGAAGAGAAGTGAAGACAGGAGTAAAACAAGACTGTCTACTATCACTCATCATATTCCTCATTGTGGTCGACCAGACTGGATCATGCAACAAACCGTGATGAGCGAGAATAAATGGATACGCTGGGCAGGGGAAAAGAATCCAGAAGACTTGGATTTCGCCGATCACTTGTGTATAATGTCTTGTAGCACAAACTTGAAGATCTACAGATGAAAACTAACACGTTGACAGAAGAGGTAGGGCAGGGCAGGTCAGGGTAGGGCAGTGATGGAAAACGGGACTTCAAGAGAATTTGGAGAAGATAGATGTGATGAAGATACCCAGTCAACAACAACAACAACAAACTCCAATCACCATCAATGGGAGAAACTCAAAGGAAGTTGTCTCCTTCACCTACCAACCTATCTAAGCAGCACTGTCTCATCTACAGGCAGCACAGACGAGGACATCAGTGTCAGGATTGGAAAAGCAAGACTGGCGTTCATTAACCTGAAACAAGTGTGGAGATCTTCTGCACTCTGCATACATCGTGAACAAGATCCAGATTTTCAACACCAACACCAGTCAAGTCAGTGCTTCTTGTATGTGATGGTTCAGAGACTTGGCGCATCACGAAAGGGATTTCCAGCAAACTACAGACATTCATCAACAACTGCCACCTACTTTGGCTCCTTACTGAAGCTCAGATCAGATGGCCAGAATAATAAGAATTAGCAAGAAGGAACTCTGACCAGGCATCGGACTAACCAAGAACCTTTCTTTGAATAAATATGCATTGGAAGGAAGTGGAGATGGATTGGGCATACACTGAGAAGGCCAACTGGGGACATCACACGTCAGGCCAGGCACTCGAGTGGAACCCCCATGGGAAGCGACGAGTTGGGCGTCCGAGGGTGACATGGAGGAGATGGTGTGAGTAAGAAATGAGAGTTTGTGGGCTGTTGTGGAGCCAGGTTCAAGAGATTTCAGAGAAGAGAGTGCATTGGAGGCGTGCTGCTGAAGCCCTGTGTTCCATTAGGAACCCAGTGGACGGATAACAATAATAATAATATATTCGTGAATTCATTTTAGTTATATAAATCATTTAGGGACAGTTCAGTGTTAAAGGATTCACACCATCCAAAAAATAAAATGGTCAATTTGTAAACTTCACAAATTGCAGGATTCATTTGGCAATTCCTACAATGTACTAGCATTTCAACAGCTTAATTGGGCTGTCAACAGGATTTCTATCATAAATCATACTGATATCAGTCTATCCATTCATCCAGATCAACCTAGTACCAGGCATTACTGCGTAACGGTCCGAGTTACCACACCTCATATCACTACATCAAGTAAAAAGGCAGTAAGGCGCAAGATGAAGATTAGAGAATGCAGTCAAAAGAAATATAAAGTACGAAAAGAGAGAAACGAAGAACGAAAAGGTGGTGAGATTCGGTGTAGCGTAGTTAAGATGAGGATAATGTGTGTGGGGATACATCTGCACCACTGACTTCGGTTCTGAGCCATATTACCTAGAGTCTCCAACCACTGGTTCCTCTTGTCCCGCCAACCCACGCCACCTAGTCTGCATTGCCTCACATGACTCAGACCAACAGTCAGAGACTTCACACATAAGTGGCCACCTCGGTCCTTTTCCAGCCTGGACCTACTTCGGTCAACATTGTGTGATGAGGCAATCGGTGACTAGGCATACGTAGTACGTGTCCCAGTCAGCCATCTCAATCGATGAAGGTTCATAACCTCTTCAACCTCTTTACCTCTGCTCTCTAAGACTCTATACTTGACTTCTGCATTACTCATGTGGTGACACCACGGAATAAGGCCTGTACTACGAAGGCAACGGTGGTCAAACACTTGAAGCCTTCTCATGTCTTCCACCTTCAATGGCCATGTTTCACAGCCATGCAGTAGAACAAACCGGACTGCTGTACAGTACACGCCACCTTTAATAGACAATCAGATATCACGGAGGCGCCACAGGTGGCGTAAGCTGGCGAAAGCCTATTGAGCGTTTTGTATCCGTGCAGAGATTTCACCGGCCACTGAGCCACTAGGGCAGGACTCATCCTACTTCCCAGGTAAGTGAAGTGGTCAACACACTCAACCACTTCATTCTCTATTGTTAGCCGTGGCAGTCAGTCTATGATGAATACCAACCTGAAATCAATCAGACAATCCTCACAATCCTCCTCCAAAATAAAGATAATCATACTGATTGAAAGTTTATTCCAACTTCAGAACATCTGAAAACTTATATAATACTGGACAATTCTAACGTTACATTCATGAATTTGTCCAAAAGTGTTAACTAAAAATGAATGAAAGCTTCTTATTGGTAGCATGATATCACTTGGCTCCTTATCTGACATCAAATAAATACGTGGTACAGTTTATCAGATGATGAGAGAATAAATTGGTTGTGAAACTACCTATTTCTATAAGGTTACAATTAGATAGCAAGAGAACAATGTTTAATATGTTTCAGCACTAAGTTTTCCAAGTGCCAGAAGAATTCATAATTAAGCGTATAAGATGATATGATATTTTACTTGAAACTCTGCAGAAAGTCACAAATATTATCTCCTTTAGAGTCCATTTACCTGATACTCAAGCCATTCAATTCTATCAGGTCAAAATTTTGATCCTCAAGTCTATAAAATCTACATAAAATTAAAGTTACATACATTCCCTTCGCCTAATGCTAGATTATCATCCATAAAAAGGTGAATCAGCTGGTTCTAAGTCATAAACATGTCATAATTCTTTGACAGCATTAGACATCTTTATGGTTGTATTCATAAGGAAGTGACATCAGTTAGGGAACCAATAAACGCCTGAAAGCATTGACCTTCAACCCAGTGGAAGGAACTCTGGCTGGGCAACGAACTAATCAAGAACCTCTCGAAGAATAAATATGCATTTGAAGGAAGTGGAGATGGATTGGGCATGCACTGAGAAGGCCAACTGGGGACATCACGCGTCAGGCCAGATACTCGAGTGGAATCCCCATGGGAAGCGACGAGTTGTTCGTCCGTGGTGAGGGTGACATGGAGGAGATTGTGCGAGGAGGAAATGAGAGCTTATTGGCTGTTGTGGAGCCAGGTTGAAAAGATTTCAGAAAAGAGAGTGGAATGGATACGTGCAACTAAAGCCCTATGTTCCACCAGGAACCCAAGGGACTAATAAAATAATAATAATATAAACATACACATCTATCAAATAGTTAACTTCAACAGTAATCATCCAACAGTTCATAAGAAATGTGCTCAAGCACCATTTTCAAGAGCCAAAACACATTGAAGTACTGAAGCATTACGGAAAGTTGAAGAAAGATAACCGCTTATACTGTTCAGAGTCAATGATTATTTACTCAACTTCATCAAGAAGTGTTTATCAGCAGAAGAAAAGACAAGGTAATTGCCTCAAACCAATAGGCGTATTACACTATCCTACATCAAACAAATCTCAGAAGATGTCAACCGATTGCTTCATCTGTTTCGAACTGAAGTAGCACACAAATCAACGAAATCCCTACACAGTATGTTGAGTAAACCAAAGGATTCGTTGACAAAAAAAGACAGGACAAATATAATTTGTAAAATCAACTGCAAAGATTTTTCATAACACTATGTTGGCCAGTCTAGCCGTTGGATAGCAGAAATAATTCATGAATACCAGCTAGTAATAAGGTGAAATGACGTAGCCTCTTTGATTTCGACAGTCACAATCGCAAATTTGACTAGGAGAATGTGGAAATTCGCCAAAGAACAAGTTCATAAGGTGCAAGAGAATTTCTAGAAGCATAGCATTTCAACGAAAAGTTAATCGAAAGACTCGTGGATATACACTCCATCTACTTGAGAAAGAAAAGAGACCATCCATCAACCGAAAGTAATTTGATCAAACAAATCAGCAACGATGTACATTGTGACAGTAACAAATAGTACAAAGATTTTCTACCAGCATGACTGAAGGGAATTTAAGGTCAAATAGGTCAATTTGTGATAAAAATCTCTTCCCCAACTTATAATTAGACAAAATCTAGGGTCAATAAAAACAGTATCAAAGCATTTGTGCAACATTTAAAAATGCTTCTTATCTTTATGAAGTTAATGCTGAGGCTGTTACCAAGCCTGGTGAAGAGACATTCATGATAAATTATCGAAACTCAGCGAAAAACGGAGCTTCATCATTGAGAATAATCTTCTGATTATTCATGCAATGCATGATGTTGCATCATATCCAGCCTAACTAGAGTGTATCTAAGTGAGTTTACTAAATCTTAAGCTGTCCATTTATGCACTTAAATGTCCGGCTCTTATATGAGCTGAACAGCGTATCAGTGTATAGTTGACTGTATTTAAAACTACTGTTGACTTAGCCAGCTTCCAGCTATTGCTACAGTAAAATATCATAATGTTATGTCCCAACGAGTGAGATACATGATTTTAATTCATATTTCTATCAAAACTTCTGTTTGAACGAAATGTTTCTACTAATACCAACAGAATTTGGAAGTTTCAAGTTTATCAACAAAATCTTGAGTTAAGTGAAGCCCAGATACTTCTTAAAAATTGTTTAAAATATATGTAGATTCACCTTGTATTCAGAAACTTGTTAGTCGTAAGCTTTACTAATCACTTAAAGAGAACTACTTACTCACTTGGAAGCTCTGAATTAATTTTTCCAATTTGTCACTATTCGTTGGTATATCTATGGTACAAAGCGACAGAGAGCGTTCTTATTGGGTTATTTGTTGACTCGCAATTAGAAGCACCAATGTAATCGTTGTGCAGAAAGATATTATGTTCGCTTCCTCACGTCTACTAGACTTTCCAATCAGGGTCTGCCGAGATAACAGAAATCAGTGATTGTACGCTCTACGTAATGTAGCTCAGAATGAGTCTAATTTACTCAAATGCATCAATGCATTATCTTCCTTTTAAACATTAAAACAAACTACATTAGTGTCTGATTCCCTCTTGTTTTCTTTCCATGACTTGTGATCACTTCGATTATTGCCCTCGGTACTTCTTTCTTAAATTCCAACTTGATGACTTCTAGCTAATGTTCTGAAGTGCAATCCGGAGCTTCACGCAGTTATTCTAGGTCCCGTGTTCATATTAACTGACTTACCTCTTTGTTTGAGTGAACTAAATAACTATAAAATGTTTCACCTTTTTTTATCAAACGATAATATGTCCTCTTTTCAACATCCAGAAATTTACATAGATAAAAAATTGGCGTCAAAAGAGTTTGATTTTAATAAAAACTTACACTTATTACCAGTTCTTCAAAATGACGTAGCTGTTTTGCACTTGTTGCACAATAAAAATGATTGATATCCAGAATAATCACTTCTTTGGAATATTTTTGTATAAATTCACGTATATTCTGCAGTTCTTCACCAATTGGTCGTGCATACTGACCATGAACTAAATAGAATTTATCAGATCCTTCCAAAGACTTCAGTTTAGACTTCTTAGTACAAATACGTAAGTCAAAATAACGAATTCCAATTTGTAACTGTTCAATAAGGCTAAGTGATTGAGTCACAGACCATGGATAACTAAGTCGACTTAAAAAATAATCTGGAAGATATTTCTTCATACAGTATAATGGACTATCTGGAGATATACTGCTTGCAATGTTGATTGAATATGTAGAAGAGTCATGAGAGCCTATGAACAGAAAAGTGTGCATTTTTGACCTGTGTGAACACTGTTTGTGCAAACTTCAATTGAAATTAATTCAGCAAATGGCAATGACAGTAGAACATTAGTGAACATAGTATTTTGTTTCGACAGCACATGGGTCACTAAAGTTGTGAAAAAGAGCTGATCAATTTACATAACACTTCATTTCAATTCATATAACCATAGTTGAGTAAAAGAGTGATAGAAATAAGTCATATTCGTCACCTTAATAAACTAGAATAGGAGTATCTTACAGGGGAGCGGTAATGCTTTGGACTTCTCAGGAATGAGCATCCATGATTCCACTAAGGATAGAACCCAAGACCTTCAGGTTCCTCAGCCACCACTTTCTCATTGAGCTACTCGGTATCAAGTGTTCTATACTTCCTACTTCTTTCAGTTCACGATATAGCGCAACCTCCATCCAGTGGCGTCGCTGAGTACTCATGTTCCACTTGGTTGGCCCCACCTCCAAATAATATTTCATAGCCTTCCTTCATTTACTTAATTATGACTATTTAGGCTGCTTAATTAATAATATTTGTAAAATTACATACCAATTAAAAAATTATCTTGTCATTAGATTATTCTTACTATTTATTGACGTACTTGTAATTCAGCGTTATTTTATTGGATTGAATTGTTCGATGGAGAAGTACAAGTGCATCAATAAATAGTAATAACTACTACCCGTTGCACAAGAAGTGGCTACCGTTCCTTGGAGTTTGAAGCGATGGGTATGAGGTACGAGTCTCAGTGGAGACAACGTCACTCACTAGGGTGCAGGTACACTCAGCTGACGAGTTCCATGTTGGACGAAACACGCGTACTGGATTCTTCTGCTAGCCACAACCAACTAAATTACCACTATATTGTTCTCGTTGTTCATTTCATGTTTCAAGTGCCACTTTTTTGTATCTGCTTTATTTCGAGTTTGAACATTTTGCCGAATTGAGTCCTTGACTTTCAAGTTTCGTAACAAACCGATTACTATTAACCTGCTGGGACTGGATATGACAGTTTATAATTCCAAGCATAGTCAATAGAGCATGCCGCGCATTTATCACCTAGTTTATGCCGGCTAGTATTGATTATCCGTTTTAGTTTGTTTGACTTTAGACGTACTATCAGTTTATAATAGAAAGTAACTTCAAGTTAACAGATTCTTCTTAGACTGTATATTACCCATTACCAGCTTACTTCTTAGTGGATTTACTTAGGCTGAAATTCAAAGCAACAACATAAGGAGTTAGCCAAATCTACATTGTGGATAGACACCAACAGACAGCATTAGGTGATTGGTGCACTGGATATTTTATTGTCTGGAACTGTAAACTATACTCTCTTAGATTCTAATCCACTTATTTAATTGTAATGTATTTCAACAAAAACAAAACCTAATTTGGTTTGGAAGTTGATTTTAAGGTAACATCTAGCATGAACTGACGTTAGTTGAAGAAATATCGACTGTGACTAGGTGGTTCAACGGCAAGGTGGTTACTAGAAGACCTGAGGATTCTTGAACTGATTCCAGGTGAAGTTAAAGTTTTGCGCCGCTTAAAAGTCCCATAATAGGACGAAACATCCACCTATTGCCTCCAAGTTTGTAATGTTTCTTCAACTAATATCAGTTAGTAAGGAATACTAGCTTAAAACAAAATATCCTATTTAAGGAGATTCACAATTCTAATGGGTTGTTTAAAACAAAACTAGAGTTTCTCAGCTTGTGCGAATTCCATAGCATTCCTATCTGCAACTACATTATAGCACTATATTTATCTTCATACTAAACAGTTAACCGAATACCTATTAATTAAACATAAAGCACTTCAGTCAAATAGCGAAAGTCTAGGAATCCGAAGGTTTTAAGCCAAACTACTTTCTTCGCACTATGAAAAGTAGGTATTCCAAATGAAGTACCACTTTTTTATTTCCTGAGTCACCAGTGACTTTCTCACAGGGAAGCGAAATCCATCAAGTATATTTTGTAAAGTAAATAATGAAAATGCCTTACTAATTAATAATTATCCTCTATAGTTTATTAGGTAATTCATACAAACATAAGAAACAAAAGCATAACACGGGAAGAAAGAAATTCAGAGCCTCTGTTCTGTTACTAGGATCTACGTAGGACTCTCAGCAAGACTGGAATTAGGGTGGCATTTAAACCTACAAACACACTCAGGGATAAGCTTTGTTGGCTAAAGGATTTGATAGAACCAATCAAGCAAGATAATCTAATCTATCGAATTCCATGTAATGACTGCGAGGTGAAGTACATAGGCGAAACTAGCTAGTTAGGATCATTTAGATTACCGAACACAAGAATTTAGCCAAATGTAGAAAGATGGACTCCTATAGGACCAATAATCTACAAAAAAACTGGATATCGCAATGAATGCACTGACTAACAACCACACAATGCGTGGGATAAAACCACTGTAACTAAGTCTAACATAGTTTGGTGGAGAAAGAAATCGATTACTGAATTTTTGTTAATTGAATCAATATCCAATCGTAAGTATGTTTTAATTTATACTTTGTAATGATTGAAAATGGAGGTCCGACTACTGATCAGATATTCGTTTCATTAATAGGGCAAAACCCTTTGTGATTGGAGTAAAATAATAATCTGATCAGTAGTGAGACTTTATAGCTTAGTCGGTAGAGCATCGGCTTGGAAACTCGATGGTAGCTGGTTTGAATCCAATCATTGTCCAAAATTTTCATTCCACCTTCAATTATCACTTAGTATCTATACTAATCTACCAAATCACAGTTATTTCAGATAGTTAAAATCATATTTTAATTTGTCAGCTTGTGGTTTGTGACAGCCGATTGCTTTCAAGACAGTATTCATCATCAACTGATACCAGCAGGAATACTAATTAGCTTTGATTATCTATTTGCTATTAGGTAATTAGTAATACAGATATTTATTGTTACAATTATGAATGTAATATACAAAATGATGTATATTTTTAGTAACTTCACAAACCTGGAATGGCTAATGTATTAATTGCTTGACGTGTTATTTGTAGCGGAAGTTCAGACATCCATTCACATAAATTCACCTTTAAACTTTTCTTAAAAGGGAAAAAATAAAAAATAAAAACAAATCATGTGTAATTTATATTCTGAATAAGTACCAACAATTCATTACAGTTATTTGTAATCATACTGAAGGAAAGAAAACGATTGAATTTAAAATATTTCATTTGATTCCATAATATTTGCCTAACTAATTATCACCAATTTAAGCGATTGGATTGCAATGAATTTCGATTGATGATTTGTAATGAACGGATACATTTCAATCAAGTTAATACATGTGATGGCTAGGGTATGTATAGAGTAGAATGAAGACCAAAAAGTATCATATAGGATAGACAGTTGAAGAGTATGAATTGGATAAAATGTTAGGAAGCACCAATGAAGATACAAATATGGGATTCTGATTGTTAGTAAATCGAATATTTATTGTTCAGAATGACATCAAAGTGATATGATGTATGAAATTTAGTTTATCCTTGAAACATCGTCAAGTAAACAATAATATACTATTGTGTGCTGTATTAAATAAACTAATCTTATACACAATTACTATTGCTCAACAAATATGCAGAAGGAAGTGAAGATGGACTGCGCATACACTGAGAAGGCCAACTGGGGACATCACACGTCAGGCCTGGCACTCGAGTGAAACCCCCATGGGAAGCGATGAGTTGGGCGTCTGAGGCAAGAGTGACATGGAGGAGATGGTGTGAGGAAGAAATGAGAGCTTGTGGGCTGTTGTGGAACCAGGTTCAAAAGTTTGCAGAGAAGAGAATGCAATGGAGGCGTGCTACTGAAGCCCTATGTTCCACTAAGAACCCAAAGGACAAATAATGATAATAATGCGGAATTACATTCTAACACAATACTCAGGTTATACACTTACATTAATAGATCCTTTCCAAGTTAAAAACGATTGAAAAACCAAAAAATAATTGAAAACATTAGGGTAATTTGTGATTCAGAAATTCAAATATCGAAACAATCCTGTTTCAACATAAGATGCAGATAATTGCACCGGAGGAAATTTTTTCTTTTCGTCAAAAGCATTCTCTTAGCTGTAGACTCATGAATGTATAATAAAAAGGATAAAATATTCCGAAATAGTTTCTGGTAAGAAGGTCAATTTACTGTTGAACCTTGGATTTAAGGGAGATAATGTGGCGTATACACGGAGAAGGAGACTATTGAGGTTCGTAAACAGGACATTTTTTGCCGAAGAACAGAAAATGGCTTGGATACTACTGTCTACAGAAAACCAGCACATTTCAACAGGTATCTAGACTTCAAATCATCCCATCCAATGTCAGTTAAGGTAGGACTAGTACAATGTCTAAATGATAAAGCTAGAAAACTGACTAGTCACAGCAAGAACCTAAACAAGGAATTGAAACACGTAAATGAAGCGCTAGTAGTTAATACTTATCCTGCACAGTTTATTAAGAAATTCTTACAGATATACAAAAAACAAAAAATAACAGTCACATGGGTTCGACTAATAACGACAACACGAGAAAAAGAGAGTTTGTAGTGCACCTTCCTGGCACCAAAATATAACTAAGGCTAAAATAAATAGTTTAAATTAAATTAACTAAATAAATCTCCAGCTTGCCTCCGGATGCTTAGGGTGTTTTAAGTTTTGTTTTAACGAGCATGCATCCGAGCAGGCTTGGACGCCATTTTGCGCTCCATTGTGCTGATTACCACGCACGTACTCCGAGTCCCTAGTTCAGCCTTACAAGCCAGATAAGTTGATTAAACGTTTCCCCCACTCATTACTATTACATTTACTTTAATTAAATACCTAGCTCCTTCAAATACATTGCGTATCAGTTCTTTTGATTTATGTTTTGTTATCGGTACTTATACGTTAGGTAAGGTACTGGTTAAGCAGGTACTAGAGCACATCAAGTTAAGTAGGGTTGATCAAACGTTATGGAATTGTAATACGCATCCCTACAAGTTCACAGCCTCCATTGTATTACTTTATAAGGCGGGTACCTCAGAAACTTTACGTAGAATCCTTAACAGAGCTAGAATTAGGGTGGCGTTTAAACCTAAAAACTCACTCAGAGATAAACTTTGTCGGCTGATTTAAGGATCCGAAAGAACCAATTAAGCAAAATAATCTAATCTATCAAATTCCATGTAATGACTGCGAGGTCAAGTATATAGGTCAAACTAGTCGGTCGGGGTCAGTTAGAATAGGTGAACATAGGAATTCAGCTAAATATAGAATAACAGACCTAAATAAGATCAATAATCTAGAAAAAAATTCGGCTATTGCTATGCGTACATTAAGACAACCACACAATAGGTGGGATAAACCCACTGTACTTGAGTCCAATATAATAAGGTGGAGAGGGAGATTGATTACTGAATATTTGTTCTTCGAATCAACACTCAACACATGTAACAGAAATGACGCAACACCCATACCGGAGATATGGAAAATTTTGCTACAATAAAAACAACTCATATAAAGTGACATAGCTATAAAAACCATATGTCCAGAGTAGTGTGATTACATTGATATAATTATGAGCGATGATTATTTACGCTCGAAACGTCATCACCAATACTGTATGAAGCAAACATTTAACGGCATATATTAATTGTTATTTGCAGTCATAGAGTAGAGTATCTAACAGTGTCTTTGGCTTTCAACAGGTCACCTTAGCTGAAATACCCTACTTAAAACATAACTCATATAAAATGTTTATATATATATATATATATATATATATATATATATATATATATATATATATATATATATGTCATCCACTCCTAATGAAAGTTGTTCAAAATCTGAGTAGTCTAGTCGTAATTTTTCGACTTTGTTCAACCTAAAGTTTTAATTGGCCAACTGGAAATCCACCTCAAATGATAACTTACTCTGAATATCCCCACCTTCAGCTACAAATACTTGACATAATTTCCGTATTCAATTTAGTTTCTGAAATCTAATGTTTTGCGCTTAAATTTACAAATTTTTTTAATCTTTAAGGTACAAAAGCTTAGTATTAAGTATATTTACCTAGGAAAAAAATGGTTTACTGTCATCAGAATATACATAGAATAAAAATAGGAGGAATGCTCAACAGATATTGAATATGGTTCGAGGTGAATGGGAATTAATTTTTAAGGTTATGCTCATCACAGAGTGACATGATTTGAGGGGACCGTTGAAAAACTGAAGACACTGGACAACTTCTCCGTCCTAGTATGATACTTCTCACTTGTGTGCACCCACGACCCCGCTAGTGATCCAACTCAAAACCTTCATATTTCATGGCGAATGCGTTTAACACTCAACCACTGGGTTGAAGGTCAATGCTTTCAGGCGTTTATTGGTTCCCTAACTGATGTCACTTCCTTATGAATACAACCATAAAGATGTCTAATGCTGTCAAAGAATTATGACATGTTTATGACTTAGAACCAGCTGATTCACCTTTTTATGGATGATAATCTAGCATTAGGCGAAGGGAATGTATGTAACTTTAATTTTATGTAGATTTTATAGACTTGAGGATCAAAATTTTGACCTGATAGAATTGAATGGCTTGAGTATCAGGTAAATGGACTCTAAAGGAGATAATATTTGTGACTTTCTGCAGAGTTTCAAGTAAAATATCATATCATCTTATACGCTTAATTATGAATTCTTCTGGCACTTGGAAAACTTAGTGCTGAAACATATTAAACATTGTTCTCTTGCTATCTAATTGTAACCTTATAGAAATAGGTAGTTTCACAACCAATTTATTCTCTCATCATCTGATAAACTGTACCACGTATTTATTTGATGTCAGATAAGGAGCCAAGTGATATCATGCTACCAATAAGAAGCTTTCATTCATTTTTAGTTAACACTTTTGGACAAATTCATGAATGTAACGTTAGAATTGTCCAGTATTATATAAGTTTTCAGATGTTCTGAAGTTGGAATAAACTTTCAATCAGTATGATTATCTTTATTTTGGAGGAGGATTGTGAGGATTGTCTGATTGATTTCAGGTTGGTATTCATCATAGACTGACTGCCACGGCTAACAATAGAGAATGAAGTGGTTGAGTGTGTTGACCACTTCACTTACCTGGGAAGTAGGATGAGTCCTGCCCTAGTGGCTCAGTGGCCGGTGAAATCTCTGCACGGATACAAAACGCTCAATAGGCTTTCGCCAGCTTACGCCACCTGTGGCGCCTCCGTGATATCTGATTGTCTATTAAAGGTGGCGTGTACTGTACAGCAGTCCGGTTTGTTCTACTGCATGGCTGTGAAACATGGCCATTGAAGGTGGAAGACATGAGAAGGCTTCAAGTGTTTGACCACCGTTGCCTTCGTAGTACAGGCCTTATTCCGTGGTGTCACCACATGAGTAATGCAGAAGTCAAGTATAGAGTCTTAGAGAGCAGAGGTAAAGAGGTTGAAGAGGTTATGAACCTTCATCGATTGAGATGGCTGACTGGGACACGTACTACGTATGCCTAGTCACCGATTGCCTCATCACACAATGTTGACCGAAGTAGGTCCAGGCTGGAAAAGGACCGAGGTGGCCACTTATGTGTGAAGTCTCTGACTGTTGGTCTGAGTCATGTGAGGCAATGCAGACTAGGTGGCGTGGGTTGGCGGGACAAGAGGAACCAGTGGTTGGAGACTCTAGGTAATATGGCTCAGAACCGAAGTCAGTGGTGCAGATGTATCCCCACACACATTATCCTCATCTTAACTACGCTACACCGAATCTCACCACCTTTTCGTTCTTCGTTTCTCTCTTTTCGTACTTTATATTTCTTTTGACTGCATTCTCTAATCTTCATCTTGCGCCTTACTGCCTTTTTACTTGATGTAGTGATATGAGGTGTGGTAACTCGGACCGTTACGCAGTAATGCCTGGTACTAGGTTGATCTGGATGAATGGATAGACTGATATCAGTATGATTTATGATAGAAATCCTGTTGACAGCCCAATTAAGCTGTTGAAATGCTAGTACATTGTAGGAATTGCCAAATGAATCCTGCAATTTGTGAAGTTTACAAATTGACCATTTTATTTTTTGGATGGTGTGAATCCTTTAACACTATACTGTCCCTAATTGATTTATATAACTAAAATGAATTGACAAATATATTATTATTACTATTATTATTATTATTATTATTATTATTATTATTATTATTATTATTATCCGTCCATTGGGTTCCTAATGGAACACAGGGCTTCAGTAGCACGTCTCCAATGCACTCTCTTCTCTGAAATCTCTTGAACCTGGCTCCACAACAGCCCACAAACTCTCATTTCTTACTCACACCATCTCCTCCATGTCACCCTCGGACGCCCAACTCGTCGCTTCCCATGGGGGTTCCACTCGAGTGCCTGGCCTGACGCGTGATGTCCCCAGTTGGCCTTCTCAGTGTATGCCCAATCCATCTCCACTTCCTTCCAATGCATATTTATTCAAAGAAAGGTTCTTGGTTAGTCCGATGCCTGGTCAGAGTTCCTTCTTGCTAATTCTTATTATTCTGGCCATCTGATCTGAGCTTCAGTAAGGAGCCAAAGTAGGTGGCAGTTGTTGATGAATATCTGTAGTTTGCTGGAAATCCCTTTCGTGATGCGCCAAGTCTCTGAACCATCACATACAAGAAGCACTGACTTGACTGGTGTTGGTGTTGAAAATCTGGATCTTGTTCACGATGTATGCAGAGTGCAGAAGATCTTGACACTTGTTTCAGGTTAATGAACGCCAGTCTCGCTTTTCCAATCCTGACACTGATGTCCTCGTCTGTGCTGCCTGTAGATGAGACAGTGCTGCTTAGATAGATTGGTAGGTGAAGGAGGCAACTTCCTTTGAGTTTCTCCCATTGATGGTGATTGGAGTTTGTTGTTGTTGTTGTTGTTGTTGATTGGGTATCTTCATCACATCTGTCTTCTCTATATTCACTTGAATTCCCATCTCCCATCACTGCCGTGCCGTGCCCTGCCCTACCTCTTCTGTCAACGTGCTAGTTTTCATCTGTAGATCTTCAAGTTTGTGCTTCAAGACAATAGACACAAGTAATCGGCGAAATTCAAGTCTTCTAGGTTCATTCCCCAGTCCAGCGTATCCCTCTCTTCTCGCTCATCACGGTTTGTTGCATGATCCAGTCTGGTCGACCACAATGAGTGATAGTAGACAGTCTTGTCTTACTCCTGTCTTCACTTCACTTTAAAGGCATAACTTAGCTTCCCATTGTGAATTATTTGTCATGCTGCGTCTTCATATAGTTGTTGAATGAGGTTGATAAAGGTTTGTGGCATTCTGTAGTGTTGAAGCAGTTTCCAAATTACCTTTCGGTCGACGCTGTCAATGGCCTCCTCAAAGTCGATGAAGTTGAAGTAAAGAGTTGACTGCCATTTCATACTCTGTTCTATGATCATGCAGAGCGTTGCAATGTGGTCCGCATATGATTTCTACTTCATGAATCCAGCCAGCCAGCCTGTTCGGGTCGTAGTTTTGAATCCAGTGCATCCTTTAGTCTCTCCAGGATGATGCGGCTGACGAATATATTGACAGTATATATATATATATATATATATATATATATATATATATATATATATATATATTGTTTTAACATCAAACAAGATGATAAGATCACTAAAGATTCAGAATAATAAAATGAAGTTGTTTAAGAATTAGAAATTATTTCCTTCCAAGATTTCTACAAGAATGAATACTTTCGAAAGGTGATGTAAACCTGTGTGTTAAACAACTCACAATCTATATGTTAAGTTTTTAATAACCATAATGAAGAATAACCTGGTATAGTATTTGTGGTAGTGGCTAGTTAGCAAAAAGTGTCACGTTAGTTTGAGTTACCCATCACGTATTCAACCTTTTTAATACTTTCTTACCCATAGTTAATCACAGGTCATTTTGTTATAGTTGAACTAAATCTCTTTCATGCACAACGCATGGTTAATAATTTGTTTACATATCGATTATCATAAAATACATGAATAGTAAGAATCTTGAAAATGAAAACCGTTTTTACTACATGTTCGTTATGTGATAGCATGTAAATCCTCATGCTTGTTATATGGTTAGAGCATATGCATAGAAGGGATGTAGATGTAAATGAACAAAATCTACTGAAATGATGCTTGGGCTCAATAACCCTATGCCTTAACGATGGATAGTGGCTAGCAGTGGAATCCAGGACGCACCTTCCATCTTATTCCGGACTCACCAACTGGATGTACGTGCACCCCAATGAAAGATCTTGTTCTCCCTGGGACTTGAACCTGATATCGATCGCTTCAGACGCCAGAGGGTTATACACTAAACCATCGAGCCAAGATAGCCACTTCTTATACGACGGGTATATTTTTAGTGTTGTTGCTGTGTATTATCCTAATTTTAACCGAGTTCGAGTCCCGGTGAGAACAGTATCACTCACTAGAAAGCAGGCATAACGAGCTTACGAGTCCCAAACAGGATGAAACGCATATCATGGATTCTACTGTTATCCCCTGACCCTCGTTAATAGATAGTTTAAAGACAGGCAATATTGAGGCATTCGTGCAGGAGCCCATATGCCAACAGAGACCGATCAATTCGGACCACTCAACGACGGGATAATACAAGTAACACCATTAACCACATGATTATTTATAAAATTACACCACATTTGGAATAGGGAAAAATAAAGACGATTGTCTCAGACTGCACTGAAATAACATATTTTCTCCAAAATGAGGAATTAGCATAGTATGGACGCCAAGAAATATACCATGCAAAAATGTGATGTCCTGCTGAAGAAAACCCACGTGATACAGAAGTAAAAAAAGAAAAAAAATAGGAGCCAAAAAAGGAAATAAATCATCTCAACAGTAGTCTCATAAGCTGAGTTCAAAATGATATCCAATACTTAAGTTTTACAGTTCAACGGCAGATGAAAAGCGTTGACACCGAAGCAACTGGTTTTGATTCTGACCTTTGTCTGACAATATATTAAGCCACTGAGTGATATTATCTTTCGGAACCTATCCACAGAGTCTTAGTACATAAATAGATGCTGACTCACTACAACTATCCTTCACCCTGTGGTTCCACATCATTCTCATACCACCTCTCCGCTTCTTCCAGCCACTTTAATGTCTGGAAAATGGTGAAGCTTAGGAAGGCCCTTGAGATGAAGTTCACAGTCCAAGCCCCTGAAATTAAAGTCCAAAGATTGAACTAGTCAATAGGTGGTAATATGCATCTAACTCAGACGCGAAATTTAACTGGGATGAGAAGGCCTGGCTAGGCAGTCAGTTTGATGATGATAAACTTATGGTCATGCATCGTCCATTTTAGTGAGTCGTTGTCATTCATCACTGAGCCCAAGACCCAGATCTAAAGCTTCATACCAATTGCCTCCAACCGACTGACACATATGAAAGGGCACCGTGATGATAAGCCTCCAAGCTTGGTGGCCACAGTGAAAAATTATCGATGGAATTCAGCCAACGCTCAGGACTAGACAACAGGTAATAGGTTGCCCTCCAGTGACCAGTCAGTGTATCATGGATTCGTTCTTCAACCAGGCAAAACTCTTCTACGGCTGAGTAGAATTAAAGACCTTGTCTACGACTGGACCTCGTAACTCAGTCAGTAGATCAGGTAACCAAGACCCTGGAGGTCTATGGATCAAATCCCTTAGTGACCTAGGTTTTCATTTCGCGTTTAATCATCATCAAGTATACGTTAACGATAGAATGATAGAGACAGTCGTTTCTGAAATTAAAACTTCATACAACAGCAAAACAAAGAACGTTCTAGTGGTTAGTATGAGACAAATGGTTAAGCCTTCAGTTTCTGAGTAATCATGGGACAATTAATCGTAAATATTCTCAATAAACTGTTTAGTCATACCTGGATACAACTTGAAAGGAGAAATTATCTAGTTTGTTTTAAGAATTCGACAGATCAACTGAAAAAGCAAACAGTATACTTATACTTTAGCTTACCTGGTTTGCAGATGATATCATTTATGGTCATTTAAATTCGATAGGCATGATAACAACTTAGTGAATAAAATGGACTAGTCATTCAAACATACACGGAATGTATTTTATGGTCAAACGTTTAACGTGTTCCAAACTAAACTAATCAGTGATTGGACGGATGGTAATTCAAATCATATTGTCTAGTCTCTGGTATTCAACAGCTTAACTATAATTTTAAACAGTAGTAAATGTACGCATATGGATTCCAACTGATAAATCATTTTCATCTGTGATGTTGTTGCATGTGATTACAGGATTTTAGAAGAGTATGACAAATATAGTGGTTTTTAATCAATTAGGCGCATGCAAACACAGTTTTCATCAGTTGTTTTTACGCTTAACACACTTATATAACGTCTTATTATCTCTCATAGGATTATTTTTTGTTGGTACTTGTAACTATCCGTTGTTATACTGGGTCGAAGTGATAGTCCACTGTTAGCAATACGGGGTCCTATGCAGATGCCTTGATATTACCTGGATATCTATTGTTATGAGCGACTTGGTTGCGCTTTAAGCAGTAGAATTTAAGATGGGTATTTTGTCCTACTTGTGACTCGTTAGCTGGATGTACGTCCACCCCAGAGAGTGATGTTATTCCTAATCATAACAGTAAATATTCAGGCAATACTGAGACACCTGCATAGGAGCCAATATACCAACAGAGGTTAATCAATTTGATTCAATACAACAACAAAGAATTACAAGTATTAATTAATAATCATAAGTAATACCCTTTGTACAAGAGATGTCTATCGTACCACACTGAGAACAAAATCACTCAGTGTGGTGCATGTACGTTCAGCTGAAGAGTCCCAAATAGGACAAAACGCACATCTTGGATTCCACTGTTAGTCGTAACCAATTTAATCCCTTGGAATTGTTTTAATAAATTACTTATACTTCAAGTATAGGGAAAGTGAGGTACTTCTTGGTGAGATGAAAATATCAGCCGATACTAGAAATAATGAGATGAATTAGTCAGTCCTGTTACATCTAATATATTTATCATGAGTACAACATAATTTCAAAATAACGATAAAATTCGACTTTTTTTTCTTCAGATCTATTCGAATATTCTTGGTGTTCATAGGATGAAAATTTATTTCTGAAGTTTAATTCATTTTTTTCTCTTGATCAAAGCTGAAATAAGGTCAGAAAACACGTGATTATTTGTTTTTATGCTTCAATTTTATGGTTGTTTTTACTGTAGAATTTCTATTAATCTAATTCTTTCTGTTTATCATATGATCATTTGTGTCTCTGAATACCGTTTCACTCTATAGTTTCTCAATCATATGGATACTTGGAAAGTGTAACTTTTCTAAACTGTCTATCATACCATTAGATCAGTTTACAGTGGAGCTTTACATAAAAGAATCTTTTATCTAAAGATTTTTTTTTCAATTTATTTTGACAGTCTAAGATTTACAAGTCTTAATTTCTTTGAATAGTAGAAGTTTTTGTGTTATACAATATGTAAATTATAATGTAAATGGGTACTCATAGTAGGTAATAGGTAATACCGGGAAAAAAAATAGACACTTAAATTATGTGAATGATGTATCGTGGCTAGCAGTGGAATCCAGGATGCGCATTTTGTTCTATTTGGGACTGGTCAGCTGAATGTACCTGCTTCCCAGTAAGTGATGTCATTCCCTCCGGGATTCGGATTCGGCAGCGATCGCCTCAAACGCCAGTGCTTAATCACTACACCACCTAGCCACGATAGCCACTTCTTGTGTGACGGGTATAGTTTTTAGTATAATTGTTTGTTGGTTTTTTATATGATACTGTCATTGATTGGACCGAATTGATCTGCCTCTATTGGCATATGGGCTCTTGTGCGGATGCCTTGATATTATCAGTGTTCTAATTATGTTAATGATGTATCGTGACTAGCAGTGGAATCCAGAATGCGCATTTCATCCCATTCGGGACTCGAAAGCTGGATGTACCTTCTTCCCAGTGAGTGATGTTGTTCCCACCAGCCACGATTCATCATTAATATGATTAGAACACTGGTAATATCGAGGCATCTGCACAGGAGCCCATATGCCAATAGAGACCGGTCAATTCGGTCAAATCAACGATAGCATCATGTGAAAACAATTATACTAGACACTTAAATTGACTACCTGGCTTTCTATTCCATTTAGGCTTGTATCTTAAACGGGAATTCCAGGTGTCTTCAGTAAGATGAGATATTCAGTATTTGAATGAAAACAATATAACTTCTTCATACGATTTTGACACTCGTGTGAACCAGTAAACTTCCTGTAATCAGATGGTGAAAATTTCGTATGTGATGTTAATGTTGGGTAGTAAAAATTGATCTTGGTTTTATTGTGTTCTCTGAGCTGGGTTGTTTAATCGTGAAGCTTTCATCGCCTTGCTAGACGACATCATCAGCACTAACTTCAGTATGAAGTGAGCTGTCAGTATCTCTCTGTGAGTGATTTAGCAGCTTGCCTTGATGAAGTGGTCTATGACTGGTTGTATCCTTTGATTGTTGTGTCATTGATTGTATAGATTTTCCTGTTGGCTGTTCCTCTGCTTCACCTCTGACCTTTCTGTCATTTGTCATCTTCCTCATTGGTTGATAGATTGGGTCTATGTCTATACATCTGTTGATTGCTGACTGACTGACCTGAATGCCAAGCATCTAGGAATTCTCTGACATTCTTTGTGTTTCCTTTCTCCCTCCAAGATTTCTACATTGTCGAGATTCAATTCATGCCCATAATTATCCACAAGCATTGAAATGAGTGATGAAGTGTTGTGACGTTTGATAGCCAATTGGTGTTCAGGTAGACGAAGGCGAAGAGGGAGACCATTTCGTCCGATGTAGTGTTGACTATAGTTATTGCAGTTGATTTTGTAAATGATATTCGGTTTGTCTTCTTTGGTTGTTGCATCCTTTGAACTGCATAACAGTGTTTGTAGGGAATTTGTTGGTTTATGAGACACACCAATTCCAAGTGCTGATGGTATCGTCTAGAAGGACGATGAAAGCTTCACGATTAAACAACCCAGCTCAGAGAACATAATACAACCAAGACCATCCACCTGAGCTACAATTATTCTCCACTATTTTAAAATTGATCTCTTTGATTTGTGCAGTTTTCGCATAGAAATAAAAAAGTCCAGTTTTTAACAAACTTCAGTTTGTTCGCTCTGTCAATAAGTGATGCATGTAGATGATTACACCCAATATGTTTTGTTATTAGCTTGTTAGAACAGAACTTCACGTAGAAAGGTGTACCTACAATACTATATATATATATATATATATATATATATATATATATATATATATATATATATATATATATATACTACTAAATGAGTGTACTAACATTAGTACAATGTAATCGTTTCTGGTTTGAAAAGTCGGTTTTCTTATACTTCAATCAACATTATCTCAAAAGCCATTTGAATTTAGGGTGACAATAAATATAACCATGTAGTGGCGAACTTCTTGAACCGATGATCCGGATTTTCAACACCAAGGTCAAGTCAGTGCTTCTGTATGGTTCAGAGACTTGGCACGTTACGAAAAGGATTTCCAATAAACTACAGACATTCATCAACAACTGCCTACGCTGGCTCCTTACTGAAGCTCAGATCAGATGGCCAGAAAGAATAAGCAACAAGGAGCTCTGAGAACGAACCAACCAAAAACCTATCACTCAACAAATATGCATTGGAATGAAGTAGAGATGGATTGGACATACACTGAGAAGGCCGACTGGGGACATCACGCGTCAGGCCGGGTACTAGAGTGGAACCGAGATGGGAAGCGACGAGTTGGGTGTTTGAGGTGAGGGTGACATGGAGGAGATCGTGCAAGGAGGAAATGAGAGTTTGTGGGCTGTCGTGGAGCCAGGTTCAAAAGATTTCAGAGAAGAGAGTGCAGTGGAGGCGTGCTACTGAAGCCTTGTGTTCCTTTAGGAACCCAAGGGACTAATAATAATAATAATAACAATAATAATAATAATAATAAAAGTGGCGGACTTCAGGAATTTTTACGAGATATACTATCTTTAAGCCTTTTTGTCTAGTTAAGAATGTTGCTTTTTGATGCAAGATTCGAATATAAAATGTTTTAGAAACAGGCTGTAATGCTTTAAAATATACCATGGGTCACATAAACGCATGGAAGTATTTGAGTAGTTGTAATGCCTATGCAATTTACAACATAAACACTTTGTTAATGCATTCAAAACTTGTGTCATTATCATCAATTTTTAACAAGTGACAACGAACCTAGGTGATGGGTCAAATAGTTTTTAGTAGATTGCTCACAAAAGTGCTTCCTACGGTCATTAATTATGCACATTTAAGGGTAGTATAGAAAGAACATAAATATTTAAACTCAATTATTGATACTTTATAAACCTGTTAAGTTAACTAGTTTAGTAGTTACCAGCTGCTCCTAAGAAAGAAAAATGATTGAAGGTTGGGCATAGGGCTAGCAACCTTACCCCAGAAAACCATTCCAGTCGCTAAACAAACTTCGAAGCACAAAGAAAATATAAAAAATATAAATAAACTTATTCCTCACTGGAATCGGAGAGACGAAATCACGCCGGTTGGTGAAAGCCTTCGGGAAGACAGTCGGACGATGCATCTTCTCTCACTGAAAGCGAAAGTAAAAGTGGGGACATGGGATGTCCGCACCATGCATGAACCTAACAAGGCTGTCCAGATTTCAAAAGAGATGAGTAGGTATGGCATGAAAGTGCTTGAAATCTACGAGGAATATGCAAATGAAATGGAAGTGGACTCACCAAACTTTCAAATAGAGAGTCAATATTCTACTCTGGTCACCCAAACGACAAACACAAGCAAACGGAGGGAGTGCCTATCATGATATCTCTGAGAGAATCAAAGTACCTCTCGCTTGCAACAGGAAACAAGTCGCCTACATGATCATGAAAAGGAAGGCAAGTCACAGCCACAAAATGCTGCGCTTCTTA